AAAAAGGTAATTAAAATAAAAAAAAATTAAAAAGTAAACAAAAATTTAAAACTGAATTAAAACAAAAATACAAATCCACAACTCAAACGCACCAAATTTTATAGCACACCAACAACACATACACTACGTCTCTGACAGCATCCGTCAACTCTTCTACTTATCGAAATACCTAAGCTTCCCAACTGGAAGCAACAACATGCATCTACATCTTCTGCTATTATTTATGTTTTTTATTGTTTTTGAGAAGCCTATATAATTCGGCTTTTGACCTGGTTTCATTAAAATAAATTTGTTTCTCTCTTGCTCTTAGGAAACACTCTTCCCCGTACGCTTAACCTCGAGTTTCTCAGCGATTATACATCCCTGTTCGGCCATTTTCTTCAATTTCAATGCTTTCTTCTCGCGTTTCTCACGTTTTCTTATTCTTTTAATTTGTTTCATGTGTCTGGTCATTCTCTTTACTTTATTCGGTGTATCATCGCCATAATCGAGTAATGTTTCGCAAAATGCTTTCCCCATGTGCTCGTAATCCTGCAAAGAGAGCGCAAGGCAAACGTAATTATTTACTCAATCAAAGCTGTGAAGCTAAGCTTGGATTTTGCATTAAATGTTATATAATATTGATCATATAGTTATTTATTTATTTATTTATTTATAAATGTGAAAAAAAATAATACAATTATTTTATTTACACGAAAAAAAGGAGCACTGGCTGCCAGGACCTTCGGCTCGTCATATAGTTATATTTTCAAACATTTACGTAAAATTTTTGGGACTATAATTTCGGGATCCCGAAACTTAAATAGTAAAGAATTTTTATGCTCTCGTTCATATTGATTATATTTTAATTGGATCGATGGTTTCTTACGATTTTAACTTAATTAAATATATTTAAAATCGTCCTACTCAAATTCTAAAGTCGCCCAAAGCTACATACATACATATGACTTTAAAATATAAATATGTATGTCCATGGTTCTATATATTTTTGTCTCCATTAGACCATGATTTTTTCCAATAAACTTAATGCCGTTATGCCCCGAAAAAATTCGGGATCCCGAAAATGCTGCACAACATAGAAATATCGTGTTTGAAAAAATTTTCTAGTATTTAATTTATAAGCTTCAAATATTTCTTTCGCTTCCCCAATAACCTTAATTCTGTTAAGTCCCGAAAAATTTCGTGATTTCGAAATTTTGGCACGATTATCCCGAAATCTTGAATTTGAAAATTTTGTCTAGTATTTAATTTATAAGCTTCAAATATTTCTTTAATTCCTCCAATAAACTTAATCCCGTTAATTGCCGAAAAATTTCGGAATCCCGAAAATGCGATGCTCAGGTACCGAAATTTCGAATTTGAAAAATAAATATAATATTTAATTTATAAGCTTCAAATATTACTTTCGTTTCTCTAATCCGTTAAGTCCCGAAAATTTTCGGGATCCTGAAATAGTGCCGCTCTAGTCCAAAAATATCGAACTTCAAAAAAATTTTCCAGTATTTAATTTATTAGCTTGAAATGTCTATTAGTTATTTTTCCAATACAACAGCTAATAAGCCTTACTAAAATATGAAACCCCTAAGTTTCAGCTTAAATAAAAAAAAAAAAACAAAACGAAAGCATAAACTAAAAAATAAAATAAAGTAAAAATCCCTTGTACAAACCACTGTGGAGTAATCCTTACATAAATGTATAATTACATTGTATGCACATAATTCCAACTACAAATACAACAACCGAAAAAAGTTGCTAAGCCGTTCAAAACACTCGTTTGCAATTTCAAATACTTTAAAGGACTTACAATATCTTACTTTAATTACTTTCAGTTTTACTTTGAGAACTTTGTGCAACTTTTCCATTAGACGCACATATTGCCTGTGCCATCTTTGGCTTCGCACTGCTCGGGAATATTCATTGCCTCTTATATACTAGTATATGTATATACATATGTATGTATGTATGTATATAATACCAAAATAAGCAGTCAAGTTCAGAGCGAAACTTAAGCCATTAGTACTTTTACGCACAAATGCACATGCTGCTCTTCATGTTCTAAGTCGCTTTGCTCTGGACTTGCTTTTCTAAGTATCAAATTCGTATTTAAGTATATATGGAAGTAGCTATATATGTATGTATGTTTAGAGGAGTATAAATGTCTGTTTGTATGTGTGCGATTCTGACTTTTGCTTATTTCTCTTTGTGCTTAGTCTGTCATTTCTTGTGTGTATACGTTTCGAGCGATTTTCCGTCTGTCTGCATGTTTGTTTGTTCGTATATTTTAACTGCGGTGTAAGCTGATTATGTCCTCAGATGACCGCTACCAACGGTTGCTTAAATACATACATATTTATATTAATGCTTATATGAACAAATGAACAAATAGTAAGTACTAGTGTATGGAATACGAAGGCTGAGTGATAAGTTTGAGTAGTAAAGTAGTTTTCCAAACCACGTTAAACTATTTCAAAGATATGCAACGAATATTATTAAATAATGGATTTGGTTTTTTGCTAAAAAAATTTCGGGTTTTTTGTTCCAAAAAATTACCTTTTTTCACATCTGGAGTGTGCAATTAACATAATAATTTCTCTTGACATCTTTTTGAGAAGTCAACGAAATTTCAGGATTCAAAAAATGATTAAGATTTTTTGTTGCAAAAATTCCGGGACCCCGAATGTCGATCCCGAAATTTCGGGACTCAAAAAATTATGTGGTATTTAGAGAAAGAATGTGCATAGATGTAGAAATTTCGGCTTTTAAAAAATTATTTTGCATCTAACGCTTGAGTGTGCACTTTACACAATAATTTCTGCTTAATACATTTTGGTGAAATCAATAATTAGCAATTGTAGGACCTGCGATATCAAGATGGTCAAATTGTTATGCTCTTTCCTTTCAAACATCTTCTTTAACTACAATTGCTTTGCAATTTTTTTAAACACTTTTTGTTTTTATGTTACACAAAATTCCCTAAGCATTAAATCTTTCATTTAAATAACCACTATTTGAGATTTTTAGATTTTTTAAAAACTAACCCTTCCTCTTATGATGAAAAGCTCAAATCTTGAGTTTACTTAGTTTAGTGAATGTGATGACAGCAAACTATTTCACTATGATTTTAATCAAGATAAATCTGAAATTTGCCCACAGGAGTCTCATCTCTTCACAAAGTTTCTTCGAAAATTTAAAGAAAATTAGTGAACTGGAAATATCATCTGATGAAATTTGTTTCGGATTGACCCAAGTAAACCATACCAACATTTCCTTTCTAGATTGGCACAACCGTTCTTTATATTCAAGCGAAGCTTTGTAGTTTACGACGTGTTGGCACCAGAGCGGTAGTATAAGATCTCAACTCTCATGGATTTTTAAGGATGTTCTAAACACATTTAGGTTAACATTTTGATGTGAAACGTGTCAATGCTAGGTGCGTAGAAAAATATCTGAATATTTGACAAAAGCGACGTGGAGTAGAGGTCCCAAGAGAGGATTGACAAAGTAGCCGAGGCCCCGACCCTCATTAAACGCATCATTACTGGTGATGAGACGTATGTTTATGATGACGTCGACACTGTCCAACAATCTAGTCAATGACGTTCCAAAACTGAACCTCAATCAAACAGCAACCAAAATGCGCTGAAGGAAAATTGAATTAAGTGTTGGCATGCTTGTACTGGCTTCATCGGGATCTCAGTATTCGAAGGCAATTTTTATTAAAATTTTGTTATCGGTCCGGGTAATATTGGATCAGATGGTATATTCCTCAAGACTGATATCTCATTAAGGAAGCTCATAATCCATTTCCGCACAAAAAAAAAACAGCAGTGATTTCAATGATTGACGGTAGACCCGTTCATTGGGGAATCTATAAAAGTTAAAGCTTCGCGGATTAGACCCATCAAGTTCTAGACAATTGTAGCCATTAATGGAATTTCTCTCCGACTAGTGTGAGGGTCCGCTAATTTTGTAATTTAAAATATTGCAATACACTTCAACTACTTGAATTTTGATTCAATAAAATAAATTCTTCAATTGACTTGCTCAACTTAAAGATCCCAGCGATTTAATGCATAATTTATGTTACATAATCACCTTTTTCTACAATCTCAAGCCTATACTGATTTGCGTCGTTCAATAAGAAATGCCACAAATTGCTGCAAGTTCGGTCGCAACGAGCTACACATTCAAATACAACCATACATATGCACATACACACATATGTACATTCGTTTGTGTAGTTCCGTTATTAGTTTACCAGTATGGCAACCCAAAGGAGCAGCCTCCTAGTAGCAGCATCATAAAGCCACATACAAACATTAATGTGATAAACGCATGCGTGTGAGTGTTTCGTTTTGTGCGCATTATATACCGTTATGATTATCAGTACTTTTATTATCAATTTCCGCATGACTTGCGCGACATTATGAAGCATGTTGCTGTCATCAGCAAAACCAATAACCACAACAACAAATTTCAAACAACAAAGGAAATGACATAAGGGTCTACAAGCATACATATAAGCGTACATACATACATACACACATACATTGTAGCTGATGGAATTCTTTGTCACCCCTGCAGCAGCAGCAAGCTCTATTTCTGTATAAATTTCTTAAGCTCATGTGAAACTTTGCTATAACCGTTATATAGGTACATGTATTTGTATATTTGTATAAGCTTTCCTACAAATTCATTGTATTATACATGTAACAGCTCCCCTATTTACACACATTGTGTTGCCTGAGATTTCCCTTCAGCAAATTTTGTTGATTTAATTTAATCTTTTTTTCAAGCATCAATCTTTTGTTTGCTTTAATTTGTGTTATTCTTCTATTATTGTTGTTTTTGGTATGCCAAAGGCTACAATTTTCTTTTATTTATCATTCTGATATACTCGTTTTATTAGCATGCCGTTATTACTTGTCTATTCATCAATACTGTTGTTGTTATTGTTGTATCGGGTCCTCAAATCGCTATCAATAATAGAACAAGAGAAGCTGTGTCGTTGCTTGCGTCGCTATACAAGTAAAACACAATGTTCATCATACGCCATGGCGCGCCACTTGACTATGAGGGCGACTTGACTACTAATGGTTTATAAATGTGTGTGTGTGTATGTGTGTGTGTCTGGGTGTATATGCGTTTTGTGGATGCTGCTGTACTTGTTGTTGTTGCATTTTACTAGTTGTTAAAATATGCTGGTTGTTATTTGCATTAATATTTTCTTACTATTTTTCAGCGAGGTCAACACAAGGTGAGTGCGAATACATTGAAATTTACTAGCAGACATGATTGTGTATATAATTGTGCACATGTTTACACACATTTTTATGGATTGATACGAAATACGGATTGTGTTATATGTCTGGGTTTATCTATTACTCTTGCTGCATACTTTTGAATCAGATTTGCATATTTATTTTGTGTACCAACCGCAGGTGCATGAGCTTAGATTTCCTGATGAACACTTAATTGTTTTTTTTTTTTTGTTTTTATTTTTCTTAATAAGTAGTATAAAAAATTTTTATAATTGAAGGAAGTATAATACTGTAATACTTTTATGTTTGATGGAAGTGTAATACAATCATATTCATGCTAGGCTTCGAGCGAAAATGTAACCACAATCTATTTCGTTGCCTACATTTTGGCGCGCTGAGCAAAAAGACAAGAAAAAGTATTAACTTTGGCGACACCCAAGCTGGTGTATTCACAGGTTAATTTCTTATAGCAAAAAAGCGTATAAAACATTCTCTTTTTTGCTTTTGATCGAACAGTTTATATGGCAGCTATATGTATAGTGGTCCGATCTGAACGATATGTGCGGAGGTTGTGGTGTTGGTGTGGATAAAAAATTTAACTAAATTTCATAGTTAATCATCAGATATCTTGTCAAATTAAAAAGTTTTCCATACAAGAATTTGATTTAGAACGATCAGGTTGTATGGCAGCTATATGTATAGTGGTCCGATCTGAACGATATGTGCGGAGAATGTGGTATTTTTGTGCATAAGAATCTTATAGCAAGTAACATCATAATTTTATAGAATGCTATCATATCTATTCCATGCTCCGAGCCAAACATTTAATAATGGGTTATTTCGTTGCCTACATTTTGGCGCGCTGAGCAAAAAAAGTCAACTTCAGTAGAAACATATCTATTATTATTATAAAATATATCCAAAAATGCAAATTGAAAAGTAATCTTAAACAGATTCACTCAGCCTTAAGTTGCAAAAATCGTTTTGCCATAATTTTTGGCTTAAAATAATTTTAATTTTCAAATCCGCTTTTGTGAACATTTAAAATAATTTTTAGTCTCCTTTTCTTTTAATTATTATTTCTGTTTTAATTTCTTTTCACAACTTTTGTAACTACTTACCGCCGTATGAAAGTGTGTACCCTTGCGTGAGCCTAGCGATGAGCCGCCAAACGATGCCTCAATCGTGTAACTGTTTGTGATGCCCAGCATCCAAACCACAATGCGGCCGGTGCCCTCTTTACTGCGTTGCACCTTAAATTTACAGCTTTCAAAGGAGAACTGCAAAAAGGTAGACGCGAAAAGCAGATTAAAAACATGATGATGTAATGAGTAAACGAGTAAAAAGCGAAGATGAAAGTAGCAGAGAGTAGATAAAAGTAGCACAAACAAATCGAAAAAAAGCACGCAAAATGTGGCAACAAAAACTATAATGTGACGGAGTCTTAAACTGGGTTATGCTTTGTTAAAAGCTAAAATAAAATGAGCTCAACGAAAAAGTAAGCTAACGGCATTTCTATCAGCACCAGTACCAGTAAACTTGTGATTGTGTGTGTGTGTAGCTTTTGGTGTGGGCAAAATTTATTAAGCTATAATTTTCGTTTACCCCGCCCCGCCATCTACCCACCTTATCGGCCACATTCTTGTGCAACATTAACGGAAATACTTGTTCCGTTAGCTTCTTTTCGGGACTCCGCTTATTCTCACAGCCATAAACGAAAATATTGTGCTTGCGCGAATGGGCGTGCATATCACAGTACAAGACAACTTTGTATTCATCAATCAGTCTGTGGTCAGACGCGGGTGGTAATATGCAAGAAAGAGAAAAGAAATAGTAGAAAAGATAAAATCTTTAGTTTCGAAAAATATAATAATTTTTGCCGTTATCTATGCATGAACCAAGGTAATTTACCTTTTAACCATGGCTTTTGTATACCAAATGGAGGGGTATGTTTCCCGTATAACGGTGCGATATTGGCGATTCAGATCCTTGCCTGTCAATGAGTTGCGCGTATTGCCCACAATCACTCCATCCGGATTGAGCATTGGTATGAGCTTGAAAATGAAGCGATGACGCAGCCTTTTGGCTGCTAAAGTGTCGCCGGTGATGAAATCCATGAGGCCCTTCATCATCCACGAGGCGGGCGTTTCGCTGGGATGTACACGCGCTGAGACTACGATTGCTTTCTTTTTCTGAAAATGTAAAGTAAAATTAATTTTTTTTATAATATTTATTTTTATGAATTTTGAATAAAAAATTCTATATTAAAAATATGCCTTGAGGTGTTACAGAGCCTTAGGGCTCAAAGAGAAAACAGTTTTTTTTATTGTCCCTTGAGCCGAATAATAGTTTTGGAGATGCAGCTTTGAAAATGTCAGCCATATAAGTTAAAATTTTAAACAAGATTTCTCACCGACTATTCAACCGTTCTTAATAAAATTTTACGCAAGTTTTGAGACATCATTTACAAGGTCTTGATTGAACCATTTTTTCTTCAATTACAACCACTTAATACAAAAAATTTCCTTTTTTTTTGCAAAAAAGTCGGACAAAAATATCATGTTTACTTTTTTTTTTTTAATCGGAGGTACCTCTCTTTCAGGAGACTGCCATAAAGACGTGGTAATGGCCGAATTTTGAATATTTTCCTTAACAATTTTCTCAAACTCTTTATAAAATGTGTATCTTTGGAATAAACAAAGGTTTAGATAAGAACAAATTCTGAAAATAGGCCATGGAGAGAGATGAGAGCAAATTATTGTCAAGTTTGAAAAACTTGAGTCACTCTCGTATCGTTCTGAAAATATTATGGGATAATTTACCATAATAAGATCAGTTAAGATCTGTAAAAGCTTCTTTTATCGACTATAATACCGAAATTCTCAACCAGACTTTAATTTGTCTATTTTTCCAGTGTAACGAAACGACCAAATAGCTGGTATAAATCAAATAGATTGACATAATATCTCTTACACTCGCTAGTGTTGAATTGGTAATAGAACTTATTGTTGTTTTCATTAGTAAATGTTTTTAGAAAAGTGTAGAACTAAAAAATTGCGAGCAAAAGAGTAGTAAATCGAACAGACAACTGGTATAAATCAAATGATTGACGTAACCATATATAAGTAGAGCTAGAATAGCTCCGAATTATACCTAATGATAGCAGTACTGCCACGGTCTCTAGTAGTGAATTCAATACCAACACTTTGTTGGTTAATTGGTTCGATAGGTGTCAAAAAAGTGGTGAAATGAACAAACAGCTGGTATAAGTCAAAGCTAGGTTTATAGTTACTTAGCGATAGAGTGACCAATTGTGTTGAATACAACTGTAAATCTTTGTTCTCGCAATATTTGCAGACAAGAGAGTAGAACTCAAATAGTGTTGGTGAAGAAGTGGCGAATCGAAGATAGCAACTGCCGCCATGCCAACTGATCAATAACTATTTGCATTTTCTAATTCCAAAGAACTAAAATGTAATGTTTTGTTTGACTCCTAAAATACTTCAAAAAGTACTCAAATGTCATACCAACCGCTTTAATTCACAAACAAGCTGGTCGCCAACCTCCTCCTCAAAGAGTTCCAAATATTGAATCAAATCTTAGGCATACCTGTGCTTGTAGCAATTTTCCACATTAATTCCGTAGCAAATAATTCACATAAATTAAATCACCGTCAGTGCTGTGTTCGGCGATTTCCTGCTGCTCAAAAAACATAACTCAAATGAATTAATAAAATTGCAAGTAAATTTGATACAGCGTATCGTTGTGGGAATGTTTAGATAATGACTTATAATCAAAAGTACATAAGGATCATCAATAGTATATCAAAAGCATGCTTAATAAACTACTTCAATGCGATTACGTCATGCTAATGTAATTTGTTTTCACATGCTGTAGATACATATGTATGGAAAAATATTTATACACATACTTATAAACGAAAATTACTGAGAATTCAGCTACCTGCTGATTGCTGAAATAATTTTGCTTGCCTCTGCATGTGGCACAGTCGTATGCCGTATGCCGAAAGCTCTTGAAGCCGGCAAATAGCAACTTGCAACAAGGGACCGGAAGTCATTACGTTGCTAATTGAGGATTATGTATGAACTCATTGCAGCAGAATCAGCTTTAGTCAGCGTTTATGTTCTCCAAGAGACTTCAACCGCACACTTAGGTATACATATGTGCATATGTATAAACACTTTGGTGAGCTATGTCTACTAATTTTTGAGCTTAGAACCAGCGATGTGTATGCCTTTGATAAAATAACATACCTACATACATATATTGCGCTATTTGTACAATGTTCGTATTTACAGTTACATAAAAAATTCATGTGCAAGATTTCCCGTCGTCAAATACTTTAAAAGCTACACATTTTTGCATTTACTTTTCAGCACATTTAATTTCATGCTTTTGCATAAATAATAGCGGTAATTTCTACTCTCTTCGCAATTCTACTGCTTCTTCTTTGCTTCATGCAGAAAGTAATAAAAACAGAATTTATAGCACACAATGGACAAAGATTATTGATGGTCGGCAAGAGAAATATTGCAAAGTGACTTAATGGAGCAATAAGAAGAAGGCTTGCTGTGAGACAAAATAAATTAATAAACTATTTGGGTATCCTTGGGTTTGTTTCTTTATTTTGATTACCTATTCGAATGAGTTAGTACTTTTTCATTTAATTAATATTTATTTTAAAAATCTCTTAGCGATGATTGGTCCATACGAATATTTAACTTTAGAATAAGAGCCTGTAATATGCCTGCAATATTTCTTTAAATTTCAATTAGCGGACAAATCACTAATCTATTTTGTCTAAGCTTTCGCTGATCGATACAAAAATAACTATACAAAATTTAAATAAATAACAAAAAAATAACATCGATTATTATTCGAATGATGTTAAGTTTATGGCTTGACTAAATAATTGAAAAAGAAATTAAGCCTCAAGAAACTAAAATGAATAAGAAAATAGTTTTAAAAAATAGATATCGATAGACAAAATTATATAGTGTTTTGGTCGACTTGAGAATTAAAGCAAAAAAATTCACCGATTTTTATCGATTGCATATAATCGATCATCAGTACACAATTATCGATTATTTTTATCGACATGTACAAATTGAAACTATTCGTAATCAAATATTAATAATGTTTAAAAATTAATTTCATAAAATAGTTGTAAAAACAATTTTGTAAATAGAAAACTTTGTGGATTTAAAATCTATAAATGATAAATAACTTTAAAACTAATAAAATTATAATTTTTCCTAACAAAATAGTAATCAAGTTAGTTAGACGTTTTCGAGCACTTTCAACTTGGTTCTATAACACTCGAACTAGAAGTTTACGGGCATGTTTTTTTTTTAAAACCTCACTAATTGGTGGCCCATATTGTAATATTTATTTTAAATTTTGCTTAAATGAAATATGCGAAAAGGTTCTAAAATAAAAAAATATACTGTAAGCTCATACTGCTCTGTTTTTATCTTATTTATCTTATAATATTTAATAACCGAAACCGAACACTTGGCAGCCCAATTTGTGAAAACATATGTATATACCCTTCTAAAATAAAAAATAAAATCACGCTGTAACTTCACATTACGCTGTTTTTTATCTTATAATTTTTTATAATAAAAAAATAAAAAACTACAGGTGGCAACCCTTTTACGAAAATATTGCACACACATATTTAATAAACTCTTCTCTTGTAATACAAATATCAAAATAAGTAATATGGATTACTATATCGATATGGCAACCACACTCACCCTCATCGCTTCCTCATCCGCCACCGGCGCTGTCACCGTTAAATAATACACATTATTACCCGCAAGCGAGCGACACAAAAGTCTTAATTTACAAAATTTCGATTTGACAGGATCCTTTTGTATAGTCATCAGATAATCCTGCAAAAAAACATTAACCGTGACATGTGAAAATTGAGTATTAAAATGATGATTGTCTGGCTTTATTAATTAACTCACACACACACACAGTCGCAAATACGAATTGGCCCCACTCGAAGGCAGCCCAAAGGTCCTTAAGAGGCCAATGAGGGTCTCGAGTGCCCACACAGTTTCAGGCCAACTACACACTTTCATATTTACACGGATATTCATGTGTATTTGTGAGTAAGTGAATTTGTTGCACTCACCTGCAAGTCACTGTAGGTGTACGGGTAGCTGTGTGCGAAGTAAACCGTATCGTTGTCGTGTTTAAATTCAATATTAAACGTTAACGTGTAGGAGCTGTTTTCGTCCTCCTCCTCGGATGGTGTGCTGCAAAGCGATATAAAAGATGGGGAGAGAGTGAGGGAGAGAGAGTAAGGATGTGGGAAATTTAAATCAACACATTCACGGGAGATTACAAGGCATTGCCATGAAAAATGGACTATAATTGGAATTTTCATTTGAAATGCCTCCAACATACACACATCTTCATATGTGTATGCATACATATATATACAAAAATATGGCAGTGGCTGCTTGGCAGCGGCTTCGTCTGTCATCGTAATAAACTCACTCATCATCATTGCGATAGTAGGCGATATTTGTGCCACAACGCCTCCAGCCCTCGTTTATCTGCTTGGCGCTGATGGTCGAATACATGAGCGGGCGCATGCCATCGTTGTACAGGCTATCTGATTTCACCAGGTTGACGATGGAGAACCTTTTGCGTCATGCCGATGATGGTCCGTTATGCATGTTGTGTCGTGTTAACCGTTTGCATGTTGCACAGTTGTACACGGTGGCAGGAGGGTGTCAGAGACACGTTGCAGCATCGTCAGCAGGCGTCGTTGGCGTGTGTGCAACATGAACGAAGCAATTTGAAAGCGGAAATGAAATGAAAAAATTTTTTTTTTTTTTCAAATTAGTTGGCGTTGACCAGTGGAAAATTGGAGCATTGCTATGCGTTGTATGTATGTGGCCTTGTTGAGTGTGATATGGGTGCATGTATGGTTGTGGAATATGTATGATCTGTACGAGTTCCAATCAAAGGATGAGTGGAAAATGGTTGAAAATTGATTCCTAATGGTTTTCAATGCTGTCGAATTTCAAGTGACGTTGGTAATCTATGAAAACTGACACTTGTAAATATATAGTAGTTTATATGTTAGCTTCGTTTGTGAGATTTATGATACCTAAAATTGAACGCCATATCAATCTTCTTTGAGGCTTTAAGTTGAAAATCTAAAGTGGACGAATGTGGCAAATCAGTAGATTCGTAAAATTTTCTATTTGAAAATGAACAGTATTCATTTCGGAAAGCTAGAAGACTCCTTTGTGGGGCGGATGAAGTCATGTGTAGAAGCTCACGCAAGGAAGAAAGGTTTCCATTCACCACTTGGGAGTGGCCAGAAACGATTTTTCTAAATATGGCTGAAGCAGTCCACTACTTCCGTTCTTAGACCAAGTATCTTCTGAGTAGCCAAAGAACATTCGTTTGAGGGCGAGCTAAAGTGAAAGTGCAAAACATTCCTCCGCGTTTAAAAAACGCCCCCAATAAAAAGGAAACAATAGCCTCGGATAAAAGAAAGCCCTGTCTCGACGAACAAAGACCAAATTCTATAAGTCACTCATTATTCCCGACCTGCTATGGTGTAGAGGCACTTGGTATCTCCAATTTGTGGTACCTCGTGGGTTCAAATCCCATCGACAGAAATTATTAATTTAAAAAGTCTCTTGTTTAATTCTAGCACGGAAGAGTGCATTGAGTTCGATTCCCAGCGGCAGAAATTTGATGGATCCTCCTGCTCTTGTTTTAACGGTTATTTAGTCTCCGTTAGGGTAAGGTGGTAGGCTCAGATAAGTTATCGACGTCACCCAATGGTAAACCCAGGAAAGGTTGGGTGTAGGGTTAGCTGCACATGCAAAGAGGTGGTTGCAGTCATGCGGAGACAATTTTCATGAGAGCCGTTTCTATGTTACCGAAATTGACCCGGATTTTATGCGGTCAAGGATGGTTTTTTCGAAGATCTAACCACGTTTGGATCGGTAAGTTTCAGATTATGAAGTCTCCTATTTATTTAGAGATTTTCGAATAAGTTTTTCATAAAAATGAAGCAGTCACTGGGTATTTGCTTTAAACTCGGGGGAAACTCAGACTTTAATTATGCCTACAAAAGGGACTACTGAATTGTTCGGAACTACTTTTTGGAGATTCTTAATTATGCAAAAATATGTGAAGTGATCGGGTACGGAAATTCTGAACTAATCAACGCTTGTGAGATGGAACTTGATTTCAATCTCGAAAAACCTCCATGCAGTCGGTACCAAAACCAACTCTCTCATGTTTGAAAATTACTTCTCAAAGATCATATGCTAAAAACCATTGAGGAAAACCAAAATCTTTGTCTAAATGTAAAAATCACTATTAGTAGCGAAAATCTTCATCCCTCCTTTCCATCCCATCAGGAATCAAGTACCAAATTTGACGACTATAATATCCTCCGGTGTCAATTGATCCAACTTGAGAGTTACCTTATTATCCTTGTTGTAAAATAATTAGTTCTGAATGTTAAATCTTGGATCGAGGTTCTATAATATTAGTTTTCCCGATATTTTAGATGAATGAATAAGCTTAAAGTACCGTATATACGAATTTGAATTGCCTCAAAACAATGATTATTACTTAACTGACTTAGTTCAATGTCTGAGATGGTTCCTAGATTGGGTTATCGCTTCAAGAAGGTCTGACCCATGTTAGATTACAATGAACTACCGATTATGGAAAATTTTGGAAAGTATCCCAAGGAAGTAGAGATATTCCATCAAAAAATATATGACATTTGAAAAAAACTCCTGCGACTTTAGAGTTAAAGCTTTAAATTTTAACTCAGTGTTTGGTGAAACCTTCCTTTTTTGACTTTATTTTTAACACATTGGATCATAATATATAAATATGACTGCTGTTATATGCATTCTTTATTTTTTCTTAAGATAGGCATAACCTCACTTACCTGTAAATAACATTCTTTCTCGTACGACGCACACGAAAGTAGAACCATTGCTTCGAACGGCTCGTATACAAATCCGAACGCAAGTGCAGCTCATAGTAGGTTTGTGTAATCATCACCGCTTTCGCCAGATTGCCCGACTCGAAACGCGACTCGAACTCCAAGCCGTCATATTCCTCTGCGCTGCAGGGATGACAATTCATCAGGATCTTGGAGCCACCAACTGCTGAGCGACTAAACTGAATGTCATATAATGAATCAGAATAGACAAGTTCATTATCTCTATTTGGAACATAACTGTTATATTGATTTTCTGTATGACTAGAATTTTTGCTTCTGAAATCATAATTCACATTTAAGTCTACACTCTGCAACTGCGAACCGTTTCTACTGGAGTTCGGTTTGAAAACCTGATTGTGTGCCAATATTTCCGCCAACTGTTTGTTTAGAGATTTTGAATTTTGCTCTTTCGATTTTACCGCCGCTTGTTGCGAGTTCATGTTCGTCGCGGTTACCGTCTCACGCAATGTCTTGCTACCGTCATCATCATCATCGTCCTCGGCTTCGTTAAAATTCGCCTCAATAWCAATGTCACTGCTTAAGCTACTACTACTACTACTACCGCTACTACTATCACTAGTCTTAGTTATTTGGGAATTTAAATTGCCTGGAGGCTTGATAAGTGCATTAGGTTTGCTTTCATTTAATTTTACCGGTGCGATCGGACGCGTCGGTATGCTTGGTAGTGGCACATCTTCGGGAAATTTAGCTTTACACTTAATGGCTGTTAAGTCTTTGCCAAATTGACTTTTAATATAAGTGGGCATGGCTGGCTGATACTCTGGCGATTTGCTAGCCCAAATATCATCGATGTCGTCGTCCTCCGCCTTTTCTTCAATGACATTAGTTAATGTCTTAGCTATGTCCTTCACTTCATTCTCCTCATCGTTGTCATCGTCCGCATCATCGTTATCATTCTCATCGTCGTCTTCATCATATTCGTCATAGGAATTGCTGGACGATCGTCGTTCCATACTCGCTAATAGCTTCGTGAATGAGTTTTTCAATTTCAGCTTACGACGATCGGGTGTGCTGCGATCGGGCGAAGAGCCACGTGATTCCGAAGACGATATATCCGAGTCGCTTGACGAATTTTGTGCTTTAGACTTTTTCTTCTGTGCATTTTGTGGTATTCAGTACAGTATTCAGTACAGTGCATAAAAAAGCAAAATAAAAGATATATGTAATAAATTATAAGATAACGAAAGTATAAGAATAAAAATTCTTAAATAAATTCTTATAAAAATTGTTAATAGGCAAAGCTTTCAAGAAAAAAAAGCTCAGCATTCTAACATTCACAACATTAAAACTCCGTCTTCGAAAACCAAACCAAATAACTGACGAAGTAGTTGTTTTCTGTCTCTGAAGGCCTTATATCATCGTTCTCGACTCTGATGAAAACAGATTAATTGCCGTTTAGTGGATCGTATTTCGCCACTGTGTCCACAATATATTAAATCCTTCGTCTCAGTTTCGAAAGTTAATGACGCTTAAGTCAGTTGTTTTCAAAATATGAGATTTTTCACAATCGAAACCATATTTAAAATTTTTTCGCGAAGCCAAATTAATTTAATACATTATCGAGAAACCAGTTTTTGCCTTTCCACTATTGAAGATATGTGTATATTGTTTTTTTTTTCTAATGATTTAACTTTATCAGCTGATTGCCATTTTATCAATGTACACAACCGAATTTACACCCTGGGCAACAACCAGCAGAGTTAAACACAGCCAAATTTTCAGTGTGGACAACAGCCCGCCGAATTATATTCCAGTTTCAACTCGATTGATGCTCGATTAAGAATTAATGTAGTAAAATAACACTTTTATTTTCTTAATCGGTAATGGAGCAAAGGGTGGTCATTGGCCAGTTAACTCTTGTACCAAAAGACTATTATCGAAGACCACGCCATATATGTACCTGAAATGTTTCGAACTACAAGCTAAGCTATATATTTTTATAGACCACAAATTTCTGCTTATGTCCAAATCGGTACACAAAGCAACACATCTAGAGCTATAACAGATTTTACAACCTCACCTTGTCGAGGTCTCAGCTGATCATGCTTCACCTTACGGTGTCTCAATAAATTAAATATTGCGATTTGCTGTATTTCGCAACATTTGGCGTACTTGAGCTAGCGACGACATAGACTGCCTCTCCACCTTCTGCGCCGCAAAATAGCAAAAAATTTCCCAAAACACTTTTGCTTTCTTTAAACGTGTAGGAAGTGAATACCGAGCAAGTCACCTTTGCATTGTAGACAAGCAGACAGTCGAAGGCGTGAGCGCGAGTAATTGCCAAGAAAAAGAAGAAGAACAAGTAAGGAAGGAAGGGCTAAGTTCGGGTGCAACCAAACATTTTATACTCTTGCAAATTGCAAGAATCAACGGAGGAGAACTACCTTAAGGTATAAAATGTCAACCAGAGGATCGGAATCTAATACAAATCGAATCACCTTAATCCACAAAAAAATATCTTCTTGGAAGGAAATTTGTATGAAATTTGAACAGTTGGGAGTTATGGAAAACTTCGAGTTATAAAAGTTTGAGTTAAGAAATTTCAACTGTGTACATGAATGTATATATGTATTATGTGACCGACATATTTGATAAAAAAAGTGTTACAAAAATGGAAATTATCCATATTTAGTATTTGGGAGTTGGGGAACCCGATTTTATCTAAAATAATTGGTGATCCATTTGGGTACTCCCTATTTTTTGAAAGAAAATACACAGAAACGTCAAATTTAGTGGCGAATTGTTATCATCACTTGAAGGAAAATTTTTATATGTTTTGTTTTTGTTTATGTTTTGAAGGTTATCTCTTTAAAATTTTGGCCACGGCTACATCTCAGATGGCCCATCCGTTGAGTCCAATTTTCGAGCACTCATACGAGTATTTCGACTGGTAACATGCGATGTTTTGCTCCAAGGCCTGAATCGAAGTGGGATTGTCCGCATAGGTTTTAGACGTTACATAGCCCCAAAGGAAAAGTCGACGGCGTGACCACCTATCTTGGTGGCCAATCGACCGGCCCAAAACGTGAAATTGATGCGATGTATAGGAAGTGGTTTCATCTTGTTGAAACCAAATGTCGCTGGGATCACGAGCTTGAGTTTCAGGTATCAAATAGTCTGTTATCATGGCGCTGTAACGATTGCCATTGCCCGTTACGTTCCCACCAGAGTCATTTTTGAAGAAATATGGACCGATGATTCCAACGGGCCACAAACCACACCAAACCGTTCTTTTTTCTGCAGGAAATGGCAGCTCTTGAATCTCTTCAGGTTGCTCTTTGCCCCAAAAGCGACAATTTTGCTTGTTTTTATAGCCATTGAACCTGAAATGGGTCTCCTTGCTGAACCAAATTTGGCTTGAAAACGTTGGATCCTCTTGAAACTTTTCAACAGACCCTAGACCGAACCAACGTCGCTTGGGATCAGTCCAGACTGCTGCTAAAGGCTCTACATTGACTCTCCACGGTCTTCATGTACACTTTCAACAACGGGACTATGCTTTCTTCACTGCATACTGAACGTGATCTATTCATCAATAATGAGTGCTAGGTCTCAAAATGGGTGATGGTGTTGCGAATAGAACGCTCTGTAGACCAATTATATTGATCATAAATAGAAGTAAGCGCACGAAACAAATTCTTTACAGAACGTGAGCTTTCGTAATTAAGTAGATCTGTCAAAAAAAGCTCTTGAAAAAAGTACCTCTAGTTTGATCACCAGTTATAACTCAATCTCGATTAATTTTAGGTGACACCTACAACCGTTAGGTGAACAAAACTATTACACTCTGCAGCAACTTGTTGCAAAGGTATAAACATTGAAAAAAAAAAAAAAAATTGGCAAACGGAAGCAAAGAAGTTCATTAACGCCAGCGGCCCGAGGAATATTTACAAATGATTACAAATGCAAAAGAAACAATTTAAATTGTGTAATCCTTGGCGGCGATGAACAGCACGGACAGACAAAGCAGGCGACGGCAGCAGTGACGTCATTGGTTGAGTTAGGTCACAGTGATCCGTAAGCCAAACAGACGATGACGTGCGATGGCTGCTGGCTGACAACTGCAGCACAAGCAGATATATGTGTATATATTATATACTTAAATATATGCATAAACAAACACCGCACAGTGCGACCTGCCACATCGCCTCGAAATGCCATTGCCAATGGCAATGACAGACCCATGCAACAACAGCAACAGTCGATGCTACTACTTGTCCCCGCCATCCCAGTGAGATGACGCCGCCAACATCGACGCAAAAGCCACTCTATTTGTTCGCATACGCATTCATGCGCGCTTGATTTCATTTAAATTTAACTCATTTTAATTTCATTACATTCGTTTATCGTGCGAAATTGCTTTGCATGTGTTGTTCTTGTCATTGTTGTTGTTGTTGTACTCATTCACAATTGATTCCCTTCGACAATGAATGTGCTAACTGTCCATTTGATTCGCCGCCACTCGGCGTTGCTATTGTTTTTGCTGGCCGCCCGTGCGCTGGCAAACTTTTCATCAACAACAAAAACAACAACAACAATAATGGCAATAACGGCAGCACACAATTCGATTTTATTTTTGCGAGTAATTAAATTTTCGACAAACGCCCGCCACGCCCCGCTACAAATTTCATTTAGCATATTGCGGCCAGTCAAGCGGGAACACATTGAAATTCATACTTACACACACATACTTACAAATACTCTTTGGTGCGTTATAATTGTGTGTTGCTGTAGTTTTTGCCTCTCCTTTTGCCTAGTCAACTGCAAAACGCCAGAAAGTTTTGAACAATTTGCGGTCGCTTAACGTCCGCACACAGACAGACAGACACACGCATACACAGCACTTGCACGCGCTCAAATTCACACACACACACTTACATATTTTGAATGGGCGCCCAATTATTTAATAGATTTTTCGCGCCATATTTGCCGCGCGCCGTTACAGTTTATTGAACCGTTGGCTAATTAGCGGCAGCTGTTGCCATTGTCACAATCAGCTTTTGGCGCCACACGCGTCACCATTATTCATATGTATTTGTGATGAGATTTTAAGACACATAACTTGTTTTCCAGTCGATTCGAACGTTTGTTGGCTTGATTCTTAAGACTTAAATCGATATCTGTCTTCTTAATGGGAGTTACAAGTCTCCTGAGAGGCGTATCGTCTATAGTTGGTCCAATAAAAAGGTCTCCGCGTAGTCATAGCACCAGATTTTGCTCTAGTGACTTTTCACTCCTGAGACAAAGTCCGTAATATGAGATGGTTCATGTATATGAATACATCACATTCGATAGAACGATAAGCTGGACGAGATATGGCCAACATTGACATAGTTCAGCGAATTAAAAGACAGCGGATATGCTGGTTAAGTCATGTCGTCCGAATGGACGAAAACACTCTAGCGCTGTAAGTATTGGACGCAGTATCCGCCGGGGCAATTGGGGGAAGAGGAGACCTCCAGGTGGAGAAGGACCTGGCTTTGCTTGGAATCTCGAATTGGCGCCAACCTGCGAAAAGAAGAAACGACTGGCGCGCTGTTCTTAACTCGGCTATAACTGCGTAAGCGGTTTCTTCGCCAGTAAATAAGAAGAATTAGTTGAGGTTTATAATGTTCGAAAGATGAATGTTAATTAAATAGACAAGTTTTGCTTCTTTATACGCTCTTATGCTTCGCAAGTCCCACAGTTATCCAATTAGTAATTGAGTGCCACGAAAAAGAGCGATAAAGTTCAACAAAAGGGAATGAAGTTCAACAAAAGTTTACTGAACAGTCTAAACAATATCTTGTAACATTTTATCGTCATGATGTAACTAGTTTACTCTTACAGAATCAAGTATTTTTAGATTCTACTTAGGTTAGGTTAGTCTAGTAGGCCAATAAGCCGCGCATAGATCAGTTTTGGTACTTTGTGATACCAGATGAAATTCAGTTACTAGCTCCATGAGGAGTAGTCCTTTAGGATGCTTGCGCTTGACTCGAATTGTTATATATTTACTTTGAACCTTCTTTCCCAGTTGGGAAGTGGGATTATGTATTCGGGGTTTGCCGAACCGCCCTTACCCAATGAACTATGCCCGAAGATTCTACGAGTATACATATATGTTAATTCTCCTGCAGGCAGTATTCTGCTGCCTGGTTTTCAACGAAGAGATACGTTTTTCTCAAAACTATGTTTTCAAAGTCGGTTTTTTAATTACAACTATTAAAAAAAATAAATGTCGAGAAATTTTCATCGAAATTAGCATTTTTTTATAAAAACGTCTGCCAAAAATACAATTTTCATTGTTCTTTGTTTTCCTTCGTCCAATACCTAGTTTATGGTCTTTACTAAAACACGCATTTTTTGTTCTTATTTGAGATGATCCTGAAAGAAGTTCTGCTGACAGCGCGGATGCACCTTTTTTCCGAGGGACTGCCGGAAATGGCGTCGTAAAGACTGCCATTTTGATATTTATTTTTTTTTTGAAAATTTCACACAAATTTTTTACTAAATATGATTCTTTTAAATAAAAAAAAAATGTCATTAAAATATTTCATTTTTATATAATATGTAAACAAATTATTAAAAAAAGACCGTTTTTTGCCCAACGAAACCCATGTAACCCCTTAACTCATACCAGTCTTTTGAGTTTCTAGAAGCACTATCAAATAATCTCCAAATTGTACCAGTCCAGTTGAGGCATATAGAGGAATTGAATTGGTAAATGTTTTCTTAATTAAAATCTCTTTATCCCTCCTTTAATGGGAGATCCAAGTAGAGAACTTTTTTCAATAACAACTCAACTTACGGTCAACATAATCGGCCAATTGAGCGTACTATTCGCAACAAGACCACTCATCTTGAGACCCAGCACTCATTATTGGATAATATTTGACCGAATAGACCACGTCCAGCACGCAATAAAGACAATATAGCAGCTGTAGCTGAGAGTCTACATAAAGACCGTGGAAACCAGAACCACGGTTTAGTGCATTAAAGCTCGTGATCTCATCGGAATTTCGTTTCAACAAGACGGCGCTGGTTCTCCCTGGGCCCTGGAGAAAAAATCACGCATGTCATTTACCAGTTGCCAATTGAAATGTTCGAACGAGCCATCGAAAATTGTTCTCAACGGTTGGACCATCTGAGACGTGCCAATAATTGAAAGAGATAATCTTCAAAAAATGAATGAAAAATAATGTTCTTTCGAATGATATTAAATATTCCTCATTAAATTTGAAGCTTATGTGCTTTATCGTAAAAAAAGTAGGAAATCTTGAAGTAGAACACTCTCGATATAACAGGAAGGACATCGTTAGACCACTATTTAAACATCAAAGCTTCGAATACCGGGCAATTTTAGAATCTGACGACCTCGGGGTCTAAAAATCACAAACCCAAAATAACTCACAACAAAGTATTGCTATAGAAATTTAGAAATTTTAGAAAAGTAAAAAATGTTTGAAAATTGCGATGTCAAGTGCTGATTTGATTTTTTCAAGTTTTTTTAAACTCAAAAATAAAATTGCTCGAAATACATTTACAAATTCATACAAATACAACAAATTGTAACTAAAAAAATAAATTATAAATGAAAGTGCAAACAGAGCTATAAAAATATATTTAATATCAAACTATAAGCAGATCTTTTGATATTTTATGAACTTTAAAAATTTCGAGTTACAATTGTGGACTTTAAGCGCGAATGTCAAAGTTACAACTATATATGCTAGTAAATAAAATAAACCTCTGCTTACATAGTATAAACTCATTTGTAAACTTACGTAATTGACAGCGCTAACGGGATTGTAATTGAATACGATCACACCATTCTCTTCACCCACCGGACGGGGCTTTAATTCATGTCCCGATGGCTGATTGTAAGGTTCCGGCTGCGCTGGTACATAGGGTATATGGACAATACGCTCCTCAATGACCTAGAAAAAGAGCGAGAGTAAGCAAGTGGGGAGAAATTAAATATATTTTATTATACAAATGGTCCAAATATTAAACTGAGTTATTTTAATTGTTCTTGCTGCAATAAATTTTAATTGTCTTTGATTAATCGCACTAGTTAATGATAAAAGATTTATGCGAGCGCTTATTTGTATTCATAATCACACGAATTTCATGTGCCAAAGTATGCCTCGGGTTTTTGAAAACGCTTTCGTACATTGTACATGACAGTCGTTTTGTTTGGTAACCGCACTTTCGCTAATGCCGAAATTAATTAAATTTGCTTGCCATTAGCTCGAAATAGAAAATGAAACAATACAATTTTACACCAGTCAACATATTTTTAAAATTTGCTAGTCAGTTTAGATTAATAAATTATCTGGATATTCATTAAATACTAATTCATTAAATACTAAGTTATTATGTGATCTTTATCCGTTTCTGCAAGAGTTTTAATCGCTTATCCGTGTCATCCGAATTTTACCCATTTTCACGAATAATCTATCAACCATATTATGTGGAGAGTTTCTGATATTATTTTTAACGTAGTTTTGACCGTTATCCATATTATCCAAATTTTATCCGCATGTAAAAATATTTGGGTACCTTAAATAAAACGCTATAGTATTAGTAAGTTATCCATATTATCCGAATTTATTTCATTTCTGCAAAAGTTTTTATCGCACATCCATGTTATCCGAATTTTATCGGTTGCAACGGTTGGTTTACGCATTATATTGTGCGTATAGTTTCTTACAAAATTTTAATCGTTTACAATTTTCTCTGAAGTTTATCCGTTTCAACGGCTATCCATATTAACCGAAAATAAAATATAAATCCATATCACATCTTTATTCATTCCTGCAAGTTCTAATCACATTTCCATGTTATCCGAATTTCATCCAGTTCTACTTCCATATTATCTGAACTTAAATCATTTCTGCAAACGTTTTTATCGGTTATCGATAGTATCCGAATTTTATGCCCATCAATGATATTGTTTTTTTTCGAAACTTTAATCGTTTAACCATTTTGTCTGAAGCTTATCCGTTTCAGCGGATAATATTATTCAGCAGTTTTGGTGGTAATTAGTATCGGCTATCTATATGAACCGAAAATTAAATATAAAGCCATATTATCCGAGCATTATCCGTTTCTGCAAGTATTAATCGTATTTCCATGTTATCGGCAGATAATATAATGCAGGTGGTTTGTCCAATAGTTTTTATCGGTTACTTATATTATCCGAGATTTATCCGCATCAACAGATAATGTTATTATTATTACGTGAACAGTTATGTGCAAAAATTTTAAACGATTCTCCGTAATATCTTAATTTTTTCGGTTTCAGTGAATAATTTGAATATAAATGTCTTGATTGTTTTAAAATACATAGTCAATGAAACATTCACGAAAACCGATATATTTAAAAAAAAATATATGTATATACATACATGTAATGAAATATTTTGTTACACAGTGTATTTTTGAATATATAGTGAAATTTATGTGTTTTGGCAAAAACTAATTTGCTAAATTTCAAAATTTCATTTTCAATGATTTCACTCATGTGGACATAGATCGTATATGCAAAAACACATAAATTTCACTGCATATTCAAAAATACATATTACTAACCAGAGCCATCTGACCTCATATTGTCCATTTGAATTTTGAACTAATATTTCATCGTCATATTTACACATTTCGCCAATCTATTTAATATAATTTAAAATATCAGCAAATTAAAAGCGCACATACACCCACCACAGTCTCCTCTCTCACCCAAACAAAATATATTGCTTGCACGCGACAACGCTCGCCTATTCAGCTTGTTCAGCGAAGGCGCACATATAATTTAATGTATTATATAAAAGCTTTTCATGCATTCATACTTGCATATTGTGCATAATTTAAATTATGCAAATCACGCGCTTCACACTCGCGCTCACGTAATTCACTAGTAGTGTCTATGAGAGAGCCTCCATTGTATACAAGAGCACACAGCAGCTCACACCTTTACACCCCTCTTACAGTTATTTTGTATAAGTATGCATATTAAATAGTTGAAAGGTTCTTGCCACAATTTTTTTATTTCGTCTTCTTCATTGCGGCGCTGTTGCAGCAGCGTTAGAGTACGCTACATGGTGACCCTGTAGGATATTCTTACTTTTATGAGTTTTTACATTGAAGTTTTGAATGTTTGGACAGCTCGAATGGTTATTTTTCATTATTTCGTTGATATTCATATCTTAAATATGTAAAGTTTTGGTTTATTGCTTGTAAAATTGTTATAAAAACATTAATAATTTTTTTTAGAAACAAAATTTATGGCAGTTATCTAACTAGAACGTCCAATTAAGTATTTTAATGAATCGCTAGGATAATCTTACATAACCACAAATATTGTGAGACTTCCAAATTAATGATCTGAGAGCTATAATTCGTTTTTGTTCGTTTTCTTAAAGTTTTATAACAAACTTTTCTATTAGAACACCCTGTAAAATAATTATTATAGAAAATTGAAGCTTAAAACTGACGCTTTTGTTGGGCACTATTTCATATACTCGTCTACATGTGTGACTGATTTCCATATACATATATCATTTAGTGCCATTAGCCGAAATATTTCCTACAGGGTTTCCACTGCCACATGGTCGCTTTGATTGCCTTGTGCCAAAGTGGCGGGCGCACAATGTCGATTGGCGCTCGAGTCAAGTGCCGCACTTGGTGGGCTTGGGTTTCTTTAAGTGCACAGCAATTACCTTCCCTGAATGTCGTAACGCCCAGCTGGGTAACGCAATCGCCACTGTCTTCGTGCCTATAGTTAAGTGTACTATATATGTTTTCACATGGGTGCAGAAGCACATATTTAATGGAGGAAAAATAAGATAATGGAAAGATGTTTTATGTTTATGGCTTGCTTAATAGAATTTCCTAAGAAAATAAAGGAGAAATATATATTTTACTAGAGAATCTTATAAAATGAATGTGGATAAAATTGATAACATATACTCTGGGAGAGCAGGTTTTAAATTACGCTAAGGAAGGGTGTATGGTGCAGGAGCACGCAATTCACAGGCGAAACTTTCATCATCTATACGGACGGACTCAAAATGGTTGATGTATTGGGTGCCGGGATCTATTGGATTGGTGCTGGATCTCAGGTGACCTTTCAAGCTGCAGGAATACTGTAATATATTTCAGACAGAAGTCTGCTGCTAAAATAGATAACAATGCAGGAAACGAAGTAAAGAATATCAATATATACGTCGATAGCCAAGCAACAATTAAGGCAATAATCTCACATCGAATTTCATAGGAGAATATGCTTAGAATCTACGAAACAGTAGAAATGGCGGCTGCCAGAAAACGGTTCCATATACACTAGGTTCCAGGTCACAAGGGCATCCCGAGAAACGAAATAGCCGATGAGATTGCCAAAGTTGCCATCCGCTTGACAAGAGAAACAGCATGAATTACGCAAATCGTTAAAGACGATACTCTGTAATTTCCGAAAGCCTCGTCACCGAATCAAGTTGCGATGGACTGCCTTAGGAGTAGGCAGGATCGACAAAATCATGTACCACGGAACGAAAGAAAAACAGGCAAGCTTTCCACTTACATGCTCTCCAAAGGATTGCCGCACGACTGTTATGCTAGACATAACCCACAACTTACTGGCATCATTTGCGCGCCGTATTGATATTATTAATAATGACACAGGTAAAAAGTGAGGGGCAGTAGGTATGAAAGGTGTCTTATTTGCTTATGCCCGGCCTTATCTAGGCTTAGATATCTGGTAGCTTTATAGTTCATGTGAATGTTGAATATCAGAATTAGATATCAAGTCTCCATTTTACTTTGCAAAAACGTTGACGTCGTCCACGTCATCCCTAAACTTCGGCGATCATTAATAATAAACCTCAGTCTATTTGATGCCACAAATTAGAGCTCGTAATCTCGGTTTCATTTTCTTTCAACAAGATGGCGCCAATGGTCAATGGTCAATGGATTTATTGAGAGAACAAATATTTTCACGTAATATTAGATATTCCTATGGGAATACGTAAAATTTATAGAATATTTGCGGACAAATCCCGCTTTGATTCAGTTCTTGGAGTAAAACATCACGCCTGTCATTCGCCACTTACCAGTTGAATGGTCAAAAATTGAACTCAAGGGGTTAGGTGGGTTTGAAAATTTTCAAAAATCGATTTTTTTTKTTTGCTTTATTAAATTCTACAAAACCTCTAGAATATAGTCCTAAATTTAAAAGCTGATTTGAGTAATAATTTCGGAGATACAGAACTTGTGCACTCAAGGCTAGCTGCGGTAAGTGCTCTGCCTTTAAACGCGTTTTTCTCGAAACGGGTTTTTTAAAGTCGGTGGACACGCTTTCTCGAAAAGTTATCGACCGTTTTAGTTCGTATTGTGTAGACGTTTTTGAAATAATATTATCTAGTTATTGAACGAAGGATTTTTTCTTGTTTCATTACAACTTATATTTCTGACCCACAAATGCCGAAAATTTTACCAAAAATGAGATTTTTTGTTCAAAGTCMGAGAAAAGAAGGACAATTTTAATATTTTTTTATTTCCTACGTTCAAAAACGAGATTTAGATATGTACTAACAGAATATGCTTAGTTTTTTAATTTTATATGAACCAATAATAAGTTATGCTGTCCACGGCGGTAGCACTTTTTTGAGAGACACCCAGGGAAATGCCGTCTCAACGGCGGTATTTTAAACATTTTTTTATCGAAATTTCAGGAGATATTGTTCGAATATATACCTTTGATATAACATATAATACTTTTCAAATATATGATTGCTTGTATAAAAAAAAATCGTAAAATACCTTTTTTTTTGTACCTCTGAAACCCACCTAACCCCTTAACGAAGAAATATTTATAATAAAAAAAAAAACTTATTTAGACTTAATTTATAAGCGCTTCACCAATTCTTGTAAAACTTAT